GGCCAGGGAAGCCGAGCTCGCCCCGGATGCCTTGCTGCGGTGGGGATGGAGAGTGGTGTCAGGAACAGGGAGCTCAGCCCTGTTCTAGGCACGGGGGCTGCACCCAAGACCTCAAGGATTTTCAGCACTAAGCGCTGTAGCCAGGATCTGAACCCCAAATAGGGTCTGGACCTGGATCCAGGGTGAGCCTCTCACCCCCAGATCCCGGTCACTCACCTGTCCCTTTGGTCCTGGCTCACCCGATTCACCCTGGGGACAGAGGACACAAAATGCAATGGGGAAACAGAACGAAATTTAGGGATTCAGCTGGAAGGGGCACACGTACCCCCCTGGAGCGCACAGTGGCTGTGCTGGGGTGCAATGCCATGTGCAGGAGACCCCAGCATAGCCACAGCGCATGGGCAGGGACCCATATCCAGTCCCTGTCTCCCCCACTCCAAAATCCATTTACAGGCACCCACCTTCTCTCCCTTCAGCCCCGCGAGGCCGTGAACGCCGGGGTCTCCCTAGAAGAAAGGCAAGGAGAAATGGGAACCTTCAGCCCCCCGCAGAGGTGGGTGCAAGCCCTGGGGTGTCAGTGATCCCCCAGCCTGGGCAGGAGGGTGATGTACTCACGGTGCTGCCTTTGGGGCCGGTTTTCCCTGGGGAGCCCTGGAGAAAGGAGGAGAGGAGGGGTCAGCCCAGCTCAGCGCCGTGTCCCTGAGCTGGACCCCAGCCCCACAGCCCGCGGTGGTCACCTTGTCACCTTTGACTCCTGGCAAGCCTTGGGGTCCTGGGATCCCTGGAGGACCCTGCTCGCCCTTGGGGCCCTGGAGATGGAGGTAACGTGGGGAAAAGAGACAAATGAGTGAGAAGAGGTGGTGGGAAGACCTTCCTCCCTCATCAGAGCATCCTCTCCAGGGCAATGAGATGAAGAGGAAGCTTCTCATCCCCTCAGGCTGCCCCACAGCATCCCAACCCACCCTGAACCTGACTTCTAGGGGGAAAATGGGGTAGAAAATGATGGAGTCTCCCCTCCAGCCACACAGAGTGGGGGTGCTCTGCAATGATTAGGGCCCCATCCCCAAGGAAGCCAGAGGGACAAAGGTCACTTTTTGGCCATTTTTCTACCCTGGCAAAGCCTCCAAGAGGGCTTGGGCAGCCCTAGGAGGGGGTGCTGTGAGGAAATTCCTCTCCCAGCTGGGACTGCAAACCCAGCATGTCCTGGGGCCCGCTAATCCCCGCGCTATTTGCCCCATTGGCTAATCCCTGCCCCAGCAGCCAGGCACAGCAGGACAGGGCATGGGATGGGGCGCATGATGGACCCCGGCTGGGTTCAAAGCCACCGTGCCCCGCTGCCCCCATCCCTCCCAAAAACCCCATCTGAGCATCCCCGAGCCATGCCGAGGTGAAGCCCATTTCCCAGCCCGGCTGTGGGTACAACTCACCGCCTTGCCCTGCTCCCCGGCGGGGCCCACGAGGCCACGCTCGCCCCGGTCACCCTGCAGAGACCCAGGAAGAGAGAAAAGTCAAGGGCAGCTCCCAGCATCACCATAAACCCCACGGTGCCCTGGACTCACCTTCATCCCAGGGACACCCTGTGGGCCCTGCTCGCCCCGAGGTCCAGGCTCACCCTAAAAGGAGGGGGAAAAATACCTCAGGTTCACATCCACATCCCATCATCTGCCCTTTGTCCTTCCCCAAGGGATGTGTGGCCCTGTCCTTGTCCCCTGCAGTCACGCAAAAAGCTGTCACTGCACCACCAAGGACGTGCTGGATGCAGGGCTGGAGAAGTGAGGGAGATGCTGGAGAGCAGAGGGAAGGGAAGTGGAGGGTGTGAAATGCCCAATTCTGCTTTGTTTGATAGCAAACAGGGGGAAAAGTGTGTGTGAGAGAGAGAACAACGTGCAGGCTGTGTCTGGGAGGAACACGGTGACATCTCTGTACTTACGATCTGCCCCGGGGCACCGGTGACACCGGGCTGGCCTCGAGCACCCGCTTCACCCTGCAAAAGGAGACAGAGGAGGTTCAGGTACAGCAATGACAGGGGAGGGGATGGGATGGGGACAAGGCTGCGGGCACAGGGATGGAGCGTGGAGGCTGCCGTGGTGCTGTGTGGGATGGAGCGGGTGCTCAAGGGGGGACCCCAGACCCACCTTGTCTCCTGGGCCTCCTTTGCTTCCTGGCTGGCCCGGTAAGCCCTGCAGAGACAAAGCTGGGATCAAACCCTGTGCACGGCACCAGAGGCAGCAGCATCCCTGCTGGGTGCTGGCCCTGCACCCCGGCACAACCCAGGATGGGGGTGTCACCCCACAGGTAATGGGGTACCTGCCTGGGGTGGTCCCACACTCCCGTACTCACAGCTTGTCCCCGATGTCCTGGTGTTCCTGGGTGCCCAGCCTGTCCCGCGCTGCCCTGCAAGGGATGGAGAGGACGTTACCATGTGGTGGAAAAAGGAACAGAAATGGGGTATCCACGGGTGGGACAAGGGTCCAAAGGGGGACACTGTCCATGACCCATGGGGACAGCCAGGAGATGCTGCATCAAGAGCCAGGGCCTTATGCCACTTGCCATCACTGCTATTTCCAGTAAGCACTGGTGCAAGGGACACCGTGTGTCTGCTCCCCATTGCCAGCAGCCCCTGCCCGCAGCCACTCACCTTAATGCCTGGGATCCCTGGGGTCCCGTCCTTGCCATCGATGCCTGGGAGACCCTGCGAAAGGGGAGAGAGTGGCTGGGTCTGATGCCCCTGAGAGGGACTGAAAGGCTTGTGGTGGGGGCAAAAACAGGCTGGGAAGGGAATGGAAATGTCCCAAAGCAACCGGGCTGGCAGCACTCTCAGCCCTGCACTGAGCCAAGGTGCAAGGGCGCAGGGTGGCCCCAAACAGAACAGAGGGGTCCCCTCCTTGCAAGGGGCCCATCCCTACGCGTGGGCACGGGTGCCGCTGGCCGTACTTACGTTCTCCCCCTTGGGGCCGATGTCTCCTTGGGGCCCCCTGATGCCACGGCCACCCTAGAGCAGGGGAGCACAGGGGTTATTTGGGAGGAGATGTCCATTGAGGGCATCCCGGGCAGAGCCCTTCTCTGTGCCAGGGAAAAGGGGGCATCGGCATCGTGGGGGGCTCAGCGCTGCCCTCCCTGCCGGGGCGCATTACCTACCAGATCTCCCTTCTCACCGGGGTCCCCGGGTGGTCCCTTGGGCCCTTCCCTGCCCTGGACAGAGAGAGATGGGGGCTGAGCAGTGAAGTGCGGGGTCTCCCCCACATCCCTGCAGCCCCTGGATGTGAGGGAGGGCACTCACCGGCCGCCCAGCCGCTCCGATGGTCCCGACCATCCCCTTGTAACCAGCAGGACCCTGCAAAGAGACCATGGAGGGGTCAATTCCTCTCACCCCAACCTCAGCCCCCAGCCAGGACCGATCCCATTAGCAAAAGGCAATGTCCAGCTCCCTGAGATGGCCAAACAGCCGTGTTGGTGATGGTCCTGGGGGGCATCGCCACGACTCAGCCCCGGGAGCTGGGCACAGTCCCCCTGCACCCCACTAGCTCTTACCGTCTCGCCTTTGGGTCCTGCCATCCCAGGGTACCCCCTCAGGCCCTGCGGTCCCTGTGGGGAAGGAAACAACAGCAGCTTAACTGGGAACAGCCCTGGGAGCAGCCCAGGGGGAAGCCGCAATTAAAGCCAAAGCCGGTTCTGGAAATCAGCCGGTTTTGCCACACGCGAGGTATTTCAGTCCCACCGCTCGCTCCTAGTTCTGCAGCCCCCCACCAGGCCCCTTTCCAGCTGTCGGTTCCATAACAGCAACGGGCCCAAACTGGTGCTGCTTCCCCCACCCAAAGCTCTTGGCTTCAAAGCAGTTTTGCCCTTTCCTGGACCGAAGGGCTCAGCCCATTAATTGCTTTTCATCTTCAAAGCGCTCGGCGAGCTCAAGCAGCTTTAATCCCCACGTCCCCGTGGTGAGCTGGGCACTGCACCCCCTGTTCAGGTGGGGTAAGGGGGGCTCAGTATATGTGAGGGGCTTGTCTCTGGCTGTGAGTTATCCCCATTAACGTGCACTAATGACCAAGATGCCCACGCCAGCGCTGGCCATGGAGGTCTCCATCAGATTGCGTCTTTGCCGTGCTCCTGGCAACAGCCCCGTGGGGATGGATGGGGTGAAGGCTTTGCCCTGGTCCCAGCGGTGGGTGTCTGGGTGCAGGGATACACCAATGTCCCCAGTCTGAGGTCAAACACAAACCAGCCCCCCCAGCCCCTGGGGGCAGAGCAGCAAAGAGCAGTGAATACGTTACCAGGGGGCCCGGGACCCCTTGTTCTCCGGAGGCACCAACGTCACCCTTGGGGCCCTGGGGAGGGATGGAGAGGAGAGAAAGGTGAGTGCTGGGGTGCAGTGGAGATGCAAACACCCCTGGGGACCTGAGAACCCCTCACCTGGGACAGGTCTCTTCCCCAGGGAGCCATCGTGGGAAGACCACTCTGTCCCCGCTCCATCTCCCAGCCCTGGATCTCCCTCCTCCCTCTCCCACCTCTTTCCTTCCTTCCCCCCTTTCCCTCCCCAGAGCCCCCTGTCCCTGGTCCAGCCCCAGCTCCCTGAGATGCTGCATCCTGCTGGGATGAGAGGCCACTCACCTGCCTGCCCTGCTTGCCGGGCTCCCCGAGGGCACCGGGGCGGCCTCTGTGTCCCTAAGGGTGAGGAGGAGGATGGTGAGCATCCCCGCATCAAGGCAGCGTCCTGATGGCCACGTCACCAGAAGCCACCCTGCCCACAACGTCCCACCCTGGGGTGCCCACTGGTGGGGCTCAGCATCCCACTGGTGTCAAGGTGAGGGTGTCCCCTGGGTTTAGCTCTCCAGGCTTTGCAGGGGAGGAACCGGGCAGGGGTATTGTTGGGGCTGGGGCTTCAGCACAGGAGTTTGCCCCCCAAAAAGGGGCTGTCAGCAGCTGGAGAGCCACAGGGGACCTCTCCCACAGCAGCTTTGTCTCCAGGGAAGCAGAGCAGCTCCTGAGCTCCCCATGTCTCCAGCCTGGGGAAGGCTCCTCTGTTCAGAGCCAGAGGTGACAGTTCCTGTTCGATCCCCAGCAGCTCCAGGGCTCCCTTACCTTCAGTCCCTGCAGTCCCTGGGGGCCCTTGGGTCCTGGGGGGCAGCTGGTGGGGCACTGGTGGGGAAAGAAAAGCACAAGTTGAGTTGGGAAGGGACCCAGAGCTGTACTGGGAAGGATGGGCTCTGGCACTGTGTGGTAAAGCCAGGGAACCCACTGCTCACAGCGGGGGTTTTGGCTGGGGACCCTGCTCCTCCCCAGTCTCTCAGCCCCCAGTTACCAAACCACACTGGTGGCCCTATTCCCAGCCAGGGCAGCACCAGCAGCCGTGACCCTGCAGAAGGGACAAGGTAATGGCAGCTCTCACCAAGAAATCTGCGCTGCCTTCCAGTCCTTGGATGTGTCCGGGTGGGCCCTGGGGGGAAGGAGTCTATCAGTATCCACTGTTTAATATCAGCTCTATTTGACAGGAGGGGTGAATTTTGCCCTCCTGCAGGAAAATGCTGGGGGTTGGGGGATACTCACGGGTTTCCCTGGAGGGCCTGGGGGACCCCGCGGGCCATCGGGTCCAGGGTCGCCCTAGGAAAGAGCAGCCCCAGGAAAGGAGATTGAAGGGTAAGGAGGCAGCAGGGACTGCTGGAGTGGGGTGAGGGAGCACCACAGCCCCAGGCTGTCACAGCTGCAACTGGGGCATCCCCCAGCCATGAGCTGGGATCGATTGATGGTGCTGGGAAACAAGGCACAGAGCCCATCACCCTCCATTCCCACTGTAGGACCCTGTTATGGAGTCGTCCCTGTTAATTCCAGGAGCCCCAAAGTGTGAAGAAGCAGATGCTGGGGTAAGGAGGGGAGGTTTTGCCATGTTCCCCCCAACCCCTCACCTTGGGTCCCAGTGCTCCAATCTCTCCAGGAAGCCCAACCTGGCCTGGAAGCCCCTTAAAGAGAAGAGAGACATTCATTGAGTGAGGGTGGTCACGCCCTGAGACCCCCAGTTTGGGGGTGCTGAGATTTGAGCTCTTCCAGCGCAACCCTGAGTAGGGTCCCTGCCCCCCAACCCCACAAGTGTGGCACTTACTGGTGGTCCTGGCAGCGAAGGACCCTGCAACAAGAAGAAAGACACAGTTCAGATTCTCCAACCCCCCCAAAACCAGCAGCATCCCTGCCCCGAGCAGGGCAATACCCACGCCACCAGCAGGGATGGAGCTCGAGTGGGTGCTCAGGGAGTGGGTGCATTACTGGCACCCATGGAGGGGGCAAATACTCACAGGGAGCCCTGGTGGCCCTGGGAGTCCAGGTTGGCCCTGCCAGGACAGAAGGGGAGAGTCAGGAGCTGAAAAGGAAGGGTCTGACCCCACCAATTCCTGCTCTGCTGCTGTGTGAACTAAAATCCACCCCTTCATGGACCCAGTCTCAGTCTCTCTCAATACTCCATCACACAGATCCTGCACCCATGCATCCCCTCCATGGTGATGGGACTGGTCCCAGCCTGGTCAGGCCCTTCTGGCTCTGCAGGAGGAAGGTGGGAGCCTGGAGGGGCGGCCCCAGAGCGGCCCCCCACTCACTTTAAGTCCTGGCCCGCCAATGGGTCCTGGCTCCCCTTTGGCTCCCGTCAGGCCCTGCAAGAGGAGAGATGGTGGAAGGTTATTGCTGTGTTTTAGCTGGGGCTCTTTCCATCATGGGGGATCAAGGGTTATCAGGGAGGTTGTGCTTGTCACTGCTGTGCCTTGGCTTTCCTGGCACAGCTCTTGCCCCCTGTGGAGTGGAGGGGGATATGTTTTTGGAGCCAGGGTGGTGGGAGGGGGTGGCAGCAGCCCCGCTGCGACTCAGAAGGTGCTTTGAGCTCCTGCACAAAGGGATTTTGGCACTTTTTTATGTGCAAAACAGAAGGATCCCTGTGCTGGGAGTGAGAGGAGTTTGCTGAGAGCTGTGGCTAGGGATGCCATGGGGGGGACAGGGGGTCGGTACTCACATCGATGCCCGGTTTCCCAGGGGGTCCATCTGGACCAGGGGCTCCAGGCTCCCCCTTGACGCCCTTTAAAAGAGAAGAGGAGTGGGGGCAAGTTGGAGCTTCTCCAAAAAAGGCAAGAGCTCGGTGAGCTGGGAGGGGGAACCTGTACTTACCGGGGACCCGGGGACTCCAGCAGAGCCTTTGTCACCCTGGGGAAAGCCAAGAATGTTATGAAAAGGGGTCTGGCACCCCATGAAGGAGGCACAGCAGCACGGGATGCTCAGGACCCCTGTTTCCCATCCCTCTCCCCAAGCCAGAGCGAGATGCAGGATGCCCCAGCACAGCAGCCAGGTCAGGATGGGGCCAGTATTGAGGAGGGTGTTGGGGATGTGGGAGGGCTGTGGTGGTTTGGGGTATAAATAGCCCTAAAATAACACCCTAGGGCAAGGCTCAGAGAAAGGACGCTTTCTGCTGGTGCACAGACCCCTGCTCTGTTCAGGCTCCTTCCCTCTGCTCCAGAGAAGGTCCAGGAGCTGTCCTTGGACACGTCACTGCTCTGCGGGCACTGGATGTCCTGCTCCCCAACAGCCCTCCCAGTCCCCTTCCTCGCTGGGCATCTCTGGGCTGATCCCTGCACCCAATCCCTCTGAGCATCCTGCACCCAAACCTCTCTGCTGCTGTGCTCCCAAGGTAGTCAGGAAGCCACGGGCTGCTGTCCCGGGGAGGTGGATGGTGCAGGATCTGCGCCCACTCCCCCCCCATGCCACCATTGCTGCCCAGGGCCACCAGCAAAGCCGGGGATGCTCCATGGGGACTCATCCACCCCAGCCCCGCAGCAGCGCAGTGCTGAAACCGCACGGCATCGGCACCCCCTGCCCTGCGCGGAGCCTCTGCACACAAACAATGTCCCTCTTTGTGCTGCCGGTCCCCTCCTCCCTCCCTTCCTCCCTCCCTCCAGCCCGCGCAGGTTCCCGGCCGGGCCGTACTCACATCAATGCCATCCGCTCCCGGCACTCCTGGGGGACCGGGGGGGCCTCGCGGGCCGGGCTCTCCTGGTGGCCCCCGCTATGGGGAAAAAGGGATGGGACTCATGTCAGGAAGGAGCAGATGGACCCCGATTGATGCTGGGGGTCAGAGGGAGCCCAGGGTGCAGAACTCACTGGGGCAGATGGGATGGAGTGAGCACCCCAAGGCATCAGAGCTGTGCCCCCCTCCATGGACCTTCCACTGCCTCAGCTGTGCCCCCCAGGAAGGGATGGATGGAGAAACCCGGCAAATCTGCCCCCCAATGCTGGCACAAGCAGCTCCCCACCCCCTGACCGGTTTCTACCCCATCATTGCCCCCTCCTGCCCCAGCAGAGTGGGGTCTTGATGGGGTGAAGGCGCTTGCAAAGGCCCCTCTCAGCTCGGTGTGCAAGCCTAGCACTGCGATTTCCGAGAGCACCGGCAGGATTGAGGTGCCTGAAGTCCCCGGTGTGAAACGAGGACCCCCGAGCCCCTGGGTGGGTGCACCCCTCCCTGCACCGCGCTGGCTCGCAGCCCGCAGCCCCGCACAAAAGCACCATTCAGCCGCCCCGGGAGCTCCGGAGCAGCCGAGGTTTGCCCAGGACTCAGCAGGAGCAGCTTTGCAAAGAAACCTCTGTTATCCTAACAGGGCGTTTTTAGGGGGAAGAGGCTCTGGTCCCAGAGACCGAACCCCTGGTGTCCCTGGAAATGAAAACCAGACAGGCTGAGGCTGTCCATCCAGCGACTCCGCTGTCCATCCAGGCTTATTTATTTTAAAGTGAGATGTTTAAGGGTTGGAGGTGTCGCTGGTTTGTTCACAGGACTTGGAGAGCCCCGGCTTTGGAAGCAAACCCCGCGGTCGGGGTCAGGAGCACCCATGAATGGCACCTTTGTCCTGCCCCAATGATTTCCAAATGGATCCTTGTTCCAGGAGCTCTCGCATCCCCCTTGCTCCAACTGGAGCCTGATCCTCTGCCCAGACCCTGCCACCACAAGCCCATGGGCATCCCGGGGAGCTGTTTTAGGGAGGCAGCTGCCCCCTCAGCCAGACAGTCCATGCAGGCTGCAGAGGGGCTGATTCATTTTCTCCTGCCCCTGGGTGAGTCCAGAAACCCCACCGAGACCCCCGGTCCCCAGCACTTCTGCTACTGCTGTCCCTCCCCACTGCTCCTCAGAGCCCTGGGGCAGCCCTTGGAGGGTCAGAGCCCAACTCAGCCCCCACCAGCCCGGCTCCACAGCACATCCCAGCAATGATGATCTTAAAGGTCTCTTCCAACCACTCTGATTCTATGAAAGCAGAAGAAAATAAGCATTTCCCAGGTGATGGGAGGCAGAAAATCTGGCGGCTGCTGGGGAGGGGAACGGTGGAGAATCCCCCGTCGCTGCCCCGAGGGGAAAATAAACCTAAACTCATTTAGCTAACAAGTCCCGAACTTCAAGCCGTGCAGCCCAGCACTGTCCGTGTCTCACGGGGCCGGAGGCAGCTTTCGGCACGGAGAGGTCCCCGGTGGGTCGGGGCTGTGGGTCCAAACTGGGGGCTGCTCCCATCCCTGCACCCCCTTCATTCCTGGGAAAAGCAAGCCAAAGGTGCTGGGAAAATAAGCAGCAAGTCCTGGGGTGTGGAGCAGAGTCTGCAATGGGGGAAACGGGGGCTGTCCCCTCTCTATCCCCTCTCTGTCTCCCATCCCAACCCGGTGCGGAGGGGACCGAGCAGAGGACTTACAATTTGGGCCAGGCAGAGGCAGGCGGCTTGGAGCAGGAGCCCGAGCTGGAGCAGGGCCATGGCGAGGGCGGCCGGCACCGAGCGGCGATGGCCTCGTCTGCTGAGCCCAGGTACGGCCCCGAGTGCACAGCGGGACGGCGGAGGAGGAGGAGGGGGCTCATTAGTATGGAGCAATGGGATGAAGGCAGGCGGGCAGCCCCGGTCCCCTCCCTCCCCCCGGCTCAGGTGAGCCCAGGGTTATTTTGGGCTGTGCAGACGGACGGTGCTGGAGGATTTGGCACGA